CTCTGTACTTCCACTTCCATATGCCACACTAATGTCATTAGTAAGGCTTTTGTTCTCTTTCTTGTGGAGAGACAAGTCCACTATGGTATCTTGAAAGATCTGTTGCCTTCATCCATCTGAAGGCAGTCTAGGTATGCCTAGCATTGAGATTTGTCAATATATGCTTCGCATTGGATTCCTAGATCAAATGTGTTGCGAATCGGATGAGGAAGGTGCCTTCTGGAAGGAAGACATCTGTAAGAACTTCCCATCCCTGAGAAGTGTGCACTTATGTGAGGAGGAGGCCCACTGTTTACCCCCAGCTGAATGCTCCTTCTACCATGAATGTTGTCTTGCTCTGAAATGCCTCTTATGGGCATTGGATGCCTCTCTAATGCCCAGGCATTGTCTCGAAGGGCATTATATCAGGAGTTAGTCAGGGGGTCTGTCCATGATGAGCTGATTGACAAGCTTGGCATTACAAAGCAGGAGGCTCGCTCAATATGGCCTTGGGCACCAGGGTTGAAATGTCTCAATAATGATGAGGCATCTCTCACCTGGCTGGTGATTCATGGGTCCCTCTGGGGCATGAAAAGACTTTGTTCAGCGGGCTTGGGGAAATCTCCAAACTGCCAATGCTGTGATGGGGAAGTTGAGATCTTGGGTCATGCCTTCTTTCATTGCAGGGTGGTAGTGCCATTGTGCAAGTTTGTTGAAGGCCTCATGGTTCACATGTTGCAGGAGAAGTTGTTTGTCCTTGAGGCCTCTTCTGTTTGTAGCAACATGGCACCACTGTTAACGAAGGCTGAGCAATATGTGTTCATTGCTTGCTAGGTGTTATGAGAGTTGTGATTTGGACGACATTCAGAGAGGATTCTATGGAGGCAAGAAGTTCACTTCTTCCCAACTGATCTTGTTCTTTAAGCATCAGCTTAAAGTCAGGATTAGGACAGAAAGGTGGTGGCTCACTTCATCAGAATTTGGCAAAAAGTGGGTGAATCTTGCGTGATTGTTTTGAGTGAAAGGGGCTGACCTGGAGTGGCACTTTGATGCGGGTTAGGCATCAGGATATTGTTCTTCCTGGGTTGAATATAGGCAACTCGTCCTGATATTAGGCTAGGTTTTGTTTTTGAATCTTTAGTTTCTTTTTTCAGTTAACTTAGCTAGGGTGTGTCTGCTCATCGGCCCCTTTTATTTCTGTCCCCATTTTTTCTTTAGTTTAATTCCCCATCCCCTCCCTTGTTATGTGGTCAGTGATGTCAGTTCTCTGGTAGATGCAGGGTGCCTTTCATTTTGCATGTGTGTTTTCATATTTGTTGTTGTGTCTGAATGAGTGTGTGTCTGCATGAGTGTGTGTCTGAATGAGTGTGTGTCTGCATGAGTGTGTGTCTGCATGAGTGCTTGGGATGAATGAATGTTTTGTACTATTATAATCCCGCATTGATTTTGTCCAGTTAACTGATATTTCTGCTACATTTAAGGATTGTGGTGGGGGTTTATTACTAACATGATTTTGTTTAGTTTCTTGTAAATAATTTTGTTCTATATTGTACATACTCATTGGGTTTTTTAAATTGTTGTTTTATTCATCTCTCCTCCCCACAGTCAATGAATTGTACATATGGGGACTATTTAGGATTTTCATGAAGATAATAAGGTATTATGGTGGATGTAGTAAGAAAGGTAGGTAAGAATGTGTTGTTTTGGTGTTAAGACTATTGTTTTTATGTTTGTGTCAGTGCTAAGTTTATAGTTAAGACAGAAGAAGACCGTCCTTTTCCCCAATCCACACTTTGGCCTTGTGCCACATTTTGTACCATAGTACAAATAAATATCCTCAGTTGAATAAAGCTTTCTTAAAGCCTACACCTGTATACTTTTGTTATTACACTAGTAAAAGTCACATTTTTGTTTGAATGGTAAGTTTTCTCAATGTTTCAGTTCTCATTTTAGCTTATCCTACACTTAGATTCATTTTGCTTTAAATATATTAAAATGATAAATATTGGCTATAGATAAAACAAAAACAAAGTATTAAATTCAATCAATTTTGGCTTGTTCCTTTTGTCATTTCAAATTTGCATCTTCATAAACGCCAAAAATCATTGAGTAAAATAAATTATTTGCTTCTATAAATCACAATTCAATCAGAGAGAGAGAGAGATAAAAAAGAACTTAGTTTAAAAATAAAATATGCAAAGTGAACAGTGCAAAAAATACAATGTCACATAAGGGAAACCTAAAAAGATGAATAGTACAGATAAAAAGATAAACAGCCCTGATAAAATAAATTAAAAGAAAACTGTAAAAGAGTTAATAATTTTGATATATAAAGAGGTGATGCTCGGGCACCTCAAGGCAGTATAATGGTTAGCAAGCTTGCCTTGCTAAAACAATTATGACTGAATAGTGAGTTCGATTCTCACTGGGTGCCCCATACTTTCGGCCTTGTGCCACATCTAAGCCGGGCTTAGAAAACTACTATAAAGAGGTGATGCTTCAAAATTTGAATGTAATGAAAAAAATGATGTTGTGTTAAAGATTAAAGATATGAAAATGGCAGAATTTTTTAAAAAGTTAGAAAACAGACAAAAAAAACTGATGAAGATATATTTATTTATTGATAAGGGAAAATGATATATAAATTTTTATATATCAAGACTGTCGCATTTTGTTGGCACTCCCACATTTTTTAAAAACAACCAGAAGAAAAAGCTTAATCAGCATCGTTCTATTCAGGATATAGAAAGGCAACATAAAAAAAACACATTCTGTGGCCCATACCAGAGGATGATTACTATCTCTTGGTTGCGTCTCTGTCTTTAGGTAGAGTGCAACTCAGTTGTGGCTTTATCTGCAAATAGAGATGCTGCTGGGGAAAATAAAAATTACGAGGTGCCCAGTCCTGGGGAACAGCTGCCCAAGGCCGTAATCCCACACACTGCACTAGAGATGGGGTATCAGTAGTCATACCAATGTCAGCACAACTGATGGATGTGGGGACTGGGCAATTTTTGTCCTTGGCCCAAGCGATCGGTTTTCCCACGTTAAACCCGACCTTGTGTCATATCTCGTCTCAGTGTGGAGGCTGGGGTAAATAATCACATTCCACAGCCCAGATGACTAGGATCAAAGTGTAGTATCTTCTCTGACAGCAGGCCCATAGCTCCAGCCATCAGCAGTAGTTCCAGCTAGCCAGCCATTATCATTTCCAGCTTGCCATCACCTACAGCTCCAGCAATCTCCAGTAGGCTCCCAGCTCCAGTCATCCTTGCAAGCAGGACAACACTCTTCACTGATTACAAAACTGTCCTTTTCAGGACAATGCTCTCCAGTGTCTACAAAACTGTCTTTCTCAGAACAAAGCATTTCTCACCCGCTATATGAGCATGCAGAGACATTTTTTGCTTAGTACACTGTAACTTTATTCTTGTTGATGTATTTTCTTTAACAAAAATAAATTTGACAATATAATTTTTACTCAAGTCTTTGTTTTCTTTGTTGCTGTCTTCTGTCATTCAATATTTGATTGCAGGCCAATATACCACCAATTTTAGGAAAACTTTACAAAGTGGAAAAAGGTTTTGTGTGATGCGTTTTGTCCTTTAGGACTTCATTCACTTTGTCAACATTTTTTTTTTCCGAAAAAATTGTTCTTGATATGTTGAAAGTATGGTCTCCTTGCAAGGAGAGATGTAATGGTTAAAAAAGTGTACAGGTATGATACATCTCTTGCCTCCACAAGGAAAACTATTAGAACATTAAAAAGAAATGACATGAATATTAACAGATTATAAATTGAAAGTGCAGTAAGCAAAATAAAAAAAGCAAAGAAAAAGAACTTGCACAAAAATAAAACATTTCTCTAAATGAAGACATTCTTAATAAGAAAAGAAAATAAATTTGGTGATAAGCAAAGAGTTGAAAGTAAAGTTAAAAATAAATAAATAAAATGATTTAATTTTTTATTTCTGTCTGAATAAAAAAAATCAGATCATATTTTTCATGATTTTTATTTTACCTGCAGATCTATCAGAATGCTTCAGATTAATGTATTTTTTTCTACAGTTTTATAGTTTTAAGCCTAAATTGGCAAATCATGTTAAAAATTCTACATTTTTGTAATTATTCTCTGCAATTGTATAAGATATTATTTTTAAACAACACCATGAATGTAATATTAAGAAAACTAAGAAATGGTATCAAATGAAGTGAACTAAAATTAACAAATTGAGATAGTTGCCTTTTTAGTAATGTTGTAGTGGTATGGGTAATAAGAATGGACCAATTGTAGATGTCTGTTTATGGCTGCATGAATAAACATGACCACACAATTTATATTAAACATAAAAATGCCACAAAACATGAAATACAAGAAGGAATAAAATGGTTTTAAAACATAACATTTGTATTTATTTGTGTATATTGATGTACATGCGTAGAAGTTAAAGATCTGTGAATATTTTTATCTGAACTCACAAAAGTTGAATTAATTATAAAGCTGAGAAATGATGAATAAACTCTAGAAGAATATTTCAAAGAGAAAAGTTCTTGTTGCATGTTTGGAAATGTTCTGTATGTTTGTAATGCAGGTTGGAAAAGTTTGTACGTACGTGCATGCATGAATATGCTTTTAACATCTGACCGCCCATGGTCAAGACGAGAATCCTTTTGCAACTACATCTTGTAGCGATAAGAGAGAGAGAAAAGAGAAGGCAGCAAGTTTGTGTCTGCTATTTATAACTGATGTAATCACGTGACAGGCTCACAGAAAATGGTGGGAAAACTTGACTTAGTCATGTGCTGGAAAAATATTTGTACGTGGGTGGATTGCAACACCCACTTGTGTGTTTACTGACCAATCAGAAGCTGATATTTCCTGAAAATATTTACTGAGTAGGCTCTCTGATCCACCTTTTGCACAAAAATGTACAAAATTCAACATTGATGTGGTAGCAAGATGCTACAATGCCACTGTAACAATATTGCTTATAGTTATAAAAAAATTCAGCTGAACTTACCATGTTCTCTGAGGCCTTTGCCAAAGTTCTGATAAACAAAGTAGAACTCAACCATGAGAAATAACCAAACAATCAGTGCCACAGCAGCTAGAAAAGAAAGAAATATTTAGCAAAATGTCTGAAACTATAAACAAAGAAACAGTACAAGAAGATGCATAAATACATACCAGCTGTTAACATTGTGTAGATAATATACAGGCTGGATTTAGTTGATGATAATGGTAAAACTTGGTAAAGCTATGGGAGAAAGAGAAAAACAGATAAATAGCAGAAAATAATGTGAAATAGAGAAAAAAAAAATGTTCTTACACTGTTTATTTATAACAGAAATATAGATCTTCTGCAATTTCTATAAATACAACATTTATTAATTTTATCAATTGCTCGTTTAAAGTTTATGTATAGCTAAAGAATAAAAATATAACATTACAACAGAAAATTAAAAGGCAAAAATGATTCCCTACGAAAATAAATTATTTTATTGAGTGTAAGTGAAGTTTATAAACAACAAGTTGCTTCCCTTAGTATCTTATACAACCCTTGGCAAAAATTTATTATGGAATTAGCTCAGTTAGAGGATGTTCACTTAGGTTTTTATTTAGCAATAAATAAACTAATAACAGATAAGATGCAAAATATTTATTTAATAACTGAACTGAAGATGCTGGCTTCATGAAATATACTTTAAACAAACAAAATTAAATTACTTTATAAGAAATTTAAGCTGCTTATTGAGCGTGTATTATCTGCTTTTCTGAGAGAAAGCAGATACTGTGTTGGGCTCTTGCTTAATTTTTGAATTTCAAAAATAATTTTGGTACATTTAGATTTGTGTGAAGACAGCTGCACTTTGTTTTTCATCCAAAACCATTCAAAAGGTTTCCCTCCAAACTCCGAGAAGTGAATTTTCAGCCTACTTGTAGGTTATAACAGGGGTCCTTGGATTTAATTGAAGAAGTCAATGAACAGCTGCTGCTGAATCCTGATGGTCCCAATCCAGAAAGAAAAAAACAATATAGAAGAAATTTGATAACCACCAGGTGAAAATTGAAAGGAACATCAAAGTTGCTCCCACATCAAGGAAAAGTCTTCAGTTGGTGTGATTGTTCTATGCTTCACAGTTATCACAAACTTTGCTTCAAAAATTGTACCAATTTTTTGGAAACTATTCAAAGAAGTATTTTCTCTTTTTCTATACTTTACATATAGTTTTCTTTTCTGAGGACCTTATGTAACATTATAATTTTTATTGTAAAAGGGCATATTTCATTTACATTGATAATTTACATACATGTTATTGGCCATCATTTGGCACACAATGCACTTAATTTGTGTAATTCTTTCAATTTTGTGGTTAACAATAAATTGACCATTTGTTCTTAAATTCAGCTTGTGTCATCTGCCTTTGTTGTATGCCCATATAAATGAAAATTAAATATTTGTTTGAACTATTTTTGTAGGGTATTTTTATCAAATAAAAATTTCCTTTATTTACACAAATTAAATTGTTGAATGTGTTAGACTTTGAACACAGTTTGGAAATCAGAGTTGTCGCGGTTTATTTGGCTATTTAAAATAGCTGCACCATTTTTCAAAAAGTGTAGCAGAAAAACACAATTTATACACAGAGATAACAAATTAAAGCCAAATTTACAAAAATTTACACAGAAAACATATATCTCTAACTACACACCAATTTTCATCGAGCTTAATTACACACATGCCACACTCTACTCAAAACAAATTTTAAAAGAAACACAAATATACCAAAGTGCTGGCCATTATCAATGTGACTCTCACTTGCCACAGCTGATTACATCTGTGTGCTTCCCTTATATATAACCAATGTATTATTTTCACATACACACTAACCATAGAGGCTACATGGAAGCACGACTCACTGCTTGTCCAACTATTAAGCTGTAAAAACGACTTTCATTAAATACAGAAAGAGAACAGACTCTAGTGTCAACACAACAAGCCCAAACCAATAACCAACAAGCAATCAACTGGATTAAGCATAACTCCTTTTCCATACCCTCATTTCACACCTCGTACACCGTACATTCAAAAGCTACACTACACAACTTACCAGAGACATTTTCATATCTTGTAAATGAAAATAAACCTTTGGTCATTTCTCCAAGATTTTCTGATGGAAGCAAGAATTTGAAAGGGGCGTACTCATGGACCTTACTCAGATTGAATGTTGAGTGAAAAAGGAAGGTGAAGAAATTGATATTGAAAAAAAGGTTGGTTCTGTAGGCTTTCCTGGTGCATTGGGCTTCAAACTCAAATGTCCCTTTTTTAGTGGAAAGGACTGCGAAAAGGATAAATTTGCACTTAACAATTTCATGGCCAATTTGAGAAATATGTAATTAACATAGACTCAAATCGAATAAAATTACAACTCTTAAAAGCATATTTAATGGGCAACACCACACAATTCATCATTTTACAATTAATGGTGAGAATTATGATACATCATAATTCTCACAATTAATGGTGAGAATTATGATACATCATAATTCTATTGATTTGTTAAATTAAGAATTTTTAGACAGACAATTCATTATTAATGAAATATTTAAGTATATGATGCTGATTTTTTAGTTAGTATCTTATAAACATTACATCACCAAGGTAAAGGCAGACATATATGAATTAAAGAATATCTTTAACCTTGATTTTTTTAGAGGAAAGTTTACCTGGCAACATTTAAATTTTATCATATTTACTAAATTTCTAGGTATTTAAAAAAGAAATCATTCATGTAAGAGATGCAAGTTATCCTTTACTACAGGAAGTTTTCAATAAATCTAGTGAGGCGATAAAAACATTACAATTAACAAAATAAAAATTTAGCTGCAGTAGTAGTAGTAATAGAGAGAAAACAAAAGGGTTTAATACCCACCCAAAATCTAACTACTTCACACTAGAAAATTTTAGTACTACAAGTACTAAAAAATGCTATCACAAGTGTAATTTTTGCAGAACCGATGATCACTATGCCAGTTATTGTAAAATTACCTTTCAAGTGTTAAATTAGAGAGGTGTAATAAAGAATTAAATTTATGTAACTTGTGTACTAGCCCTAATCATAAGGTTCTTTAATGCGTGGCTAATAAAAATAGTTTACAATATTTTTGTAAAATTTGTTCTTCTAAATCCCATGTACAAGCTTTGTGTCCTAAAGGTGGAAAAATCCAATCAAATACTGTGGTAAAATAATATTATTATTACAATAGCTGTATGCCCTTATTAAGAAATTATCAGACCTGACCTAGGACATCTGTGGGCATTAACAGAATTACCTGCCTCCCAGAAAGTAAAGTCCTTAGAATGAATCATTGGAATGTTTGCATATTATGCAAGGTGGATCAAGAAATTTTCTTGATCCACCTTTTCTTTGTTAGCCTTCCAGATATTGAAAACTAACCTGGTAGATGCCAGCCTGCAATCAGTGATAACCTGATATTTGTTGTAAAAACCCATGCATTACACAACTGTGTATCAGTAGTACTCAGTCAGGACAATTGACCAGTTGCCTTTTATTTAAGATCACTGCAAGGCAGTGAGTTAAACTAGGCACCAGTAGAGAAAGTGACTTGTGAAATTAAAATTATCCTGGGATGAAATTATACCAATAGAATATCAAAAGACCTGGAATAAGGAGCTTGTAGAGTTCTTTAAAATTGCCCAGATGTTCTTGCAGAATTGTATTTATTTTGTGATGCCTCCGAAAAGGCATATGGTTTTGCCTCCTATATGATACAAGATTCTATAACCTTAATTTTTGCTAAGGTAGCAGCCATAAAAGCAAAGTCTTTTCCATCACTTGAGTTGTTATCAGTGTACTTAGCCACTAAATGCATTAAGAACATCTTGAAACCTTTATGAAATGTTTATATCAAAGATGTAATTATTGTTGTTGTGCTTAGATAGTGTTATCTTGGTTATTGTCTGATCAACATAAAAAACAAAGGCCAGTTTGTCAAGAATAGATTAAAAGACATTAAAGTAGCCCTAAAAGAGTTATTCTAAACATGGGTTATCAGTAAAATTCAAATATGTGCCTTTCTCAGAAAACCCTGCAGATTTAATTAATTGGGGATTATCTCTTGAAACGCTTAGATAAAACTTTAAATTTTCTGGTCCTTCTTGGTTAAATCCAGTAGCTTGACCTGAAAGTGGTCTACATTGTTTGAGTGATTACAATAAGGAGGTTATTCAAAACCAAGTATATCACAACATAAGCTATACTAGTCATTTAAAATCAATCATATATTTGGAGAAACATTCAAAGTTATATAGATTATTAAGAATATTAGCATTAGTGTTCAAATTCACTAATAAAATATTCTGACACAGATCCTAAGCAAGATGTTAAGATGTATTTGTTCAAATTGATGCAGAACCAAACATTTGGTAAAGAAATTCAATTCAATTCTTTCTGTGATTTCCTTTGCGACATCCCTTGAAATGTATTTTTTAATCACCCCATTCAAAAATGTGTGTCTAAGGTCTCCTCCTGGGTAAAAGCTGGCATTGAGGCTTTCATACCAACAAGAAAATATAAAGTTAAATCATGCTCATCTCCTTGATTCAAAGCTGCTTGATCAGCTGCTATAACCCATATGAATCACTTCTTCCATCTGTACTGAAGTGAAATGTCTAATTGCAACAGACGTCTCTTTGTCTCTGCCTGTAATGAGTGCAAGTGTGTCCTCAAGGAAGCAAAGTTACTATTTGCTGATAGAATGTTTCATTCTAAAGATTTATTGGTGGCTCTGCAAAAGTGTGCTGAACAACAGCAAATCCACAATCCCTCCTTTATTCAATCAATTCGAAGTCCTAAATTCCTCAGCTGAAAAAGCTTTGCTCAGAAATTGTCATCTAACTCAGTGCTAGACTCAACCAGAGTTCCCACACCTGATTTTGCCCTAGAATTGATGCTCTATTGAGTCAGATGAGCATAACCCTCCCAATGGTATTGGACATCATCTCTAAATTAGACTCTCATAAAGCAAGTGGTGGTGAGGGGATACTAGCCGTAGTCCTAAAGTAATGTGCTTCTGAGCTGGCCCCAATAATCTCCAAACTATATAACTATTGCTTCACTGACTTTCAAGCTTGTTGGAAGTCCTCATCTGTTGTCCCTGTTTTTAAGAACTCTGGAGATCCTTCTGACTCATCTAACTAACATCATATCAGTCTCCTACCACTCTTCAGCACAC